CCCCAGAGACTACTAGGCAAAAATGAGCATAAAAAGGCTAAGACTTTGATCAAAAGCTGCTACAATCTATCCCCACCGCCCCTACCAAAAAAATAAAACCCAAGAAAAACAAATAATAAATGCTCTCCCTTCAAATTCTTTAAAGACTAAAGTTGCAATGAAATGAATATAAGTGAACGTAATGAACCTTTAAGAGAATCAGCTATTTCAAATAACCTTAAAAACAGCAATGATGCTAAGGAAGGGAGCATTCAGATGGAACTTTGGAAGAGGCAATTTTGCCTTGGTGACAGTAATGAAGCTTATGGGCCAAGGTATGTATATAAGCCTCAGGTCTTTTTTTTTATTTTTTTTTTTATTTTAATAAGCCACCTCCTCCCCATACTTTCCAACTGGTTTCTCCTCAATCCTACATGATAACCCAGTGTGGTTAAAGACCTGCATGTAACAAGATTTAGGGTAGTCATCCAGATTTGCCTACGAATACCTCTGCTATCCAACAAAAAAGTCCCAGTCTAAGAGAAAACAGGCAGGGCCACTGGAGAAAAAAGACAAGGCTACCTATATCCTTAAATCTCTAGGACATCCACCACCCAGCTATGTAATATGCCAATGACAGAGATAAGCCACTAGAAATCATCAGATTAGTCTGTCTTAGAAACAATAGTGAGGAATACGCTGTCTATCTGATATTCTGCAACATCTGTACTCATCTTGATATTCTGCTGAGAAGTAGAGTTGGCATCTGTGACTACCTCACCATCATTGATAAAACCTTGCTTAACAACTGGACTCACTGACAAGAATGCCAAGTTACATCACTGGCCTGAAGCAAGCCCTCTGCAGAAGAAGTTAACAGAAAGAACGCTTGTGTAATTTAAAAAATGAACAAACTCCTGCAAATATATGAAGTTGAAAATAACTTTTTTTTTTTTAACTTTATGACTAATAGGATAATATCGCTGTTTAGCAAATATGACTAAGATGTGGTTGGAACTGTGAACCCAAAGAAGGGTGTAGAGGGAGGCCTCAAGATAACTGGAACATTCAAGGCTAGGAAGAAAGGGGAGAGTGATTTAGAGGAAGAAGGATTGGTCAGAAGCAAAACTGCATAGTTCTAGCAGAAACCCAGGGGAGAGGAGTCTGAGGAACGATTACTCAAAAACATCAAATGCCACACATTTGAACTGGACAGGAGGGTGGGAGGACTCAGGGTTTGGGTAGATTATTTTTAAGATAAAAGAGCTCTGACTATGTTTTGGGCCTTCACTTTCCTCATCTAAAAAATAAGTTTGGCCAAAGTGACATGGAGGTGGGAAGAGGAGAGTAGGGCTGAAGAGGAAAGATTATAATATCCAAAGGATATTTTGTTCCAAAATTCTAAGTCATAATTCATGCTAGATCTGTAGGTTAGGGATTGGTATACCCAGAAGGTTTCAGATGAAGGAAATATGTACTCCAAATCCAGACTCTCTTTTCTTTCAGTATATGTATGCTTAGAGCTCTCTGCAAATTACAGCTACTGTCTTGTGGCACTTAAAATAACAACGTCATCTTTAATACCCACCAAAAAACGCTTACACAGTCTCTTAAAAAGCTATAGAGTGACCAAGAAGCCTGTCAAAATCTTCCCCATAAAGCCCTTTTAAAAATAATCTTAAGGAAGATGTCCTTTTTTCTTCTGATTTACTTTATAGGTTATTAATTTATAGTTGATTAAATAAAATGCTTATTTAATTTCTCGAACATTTTAGAGTTTAAGAAGTTGGGGTGGGAATACAACCCCTGTTATAGCATTTCTATGGGAACTCAGTTTCCATTGACAGTTTGACCTCGGGGACATTTGTCAGGACTTTTGAAAGTGGCTGTCAGTCCTGGTGTCTGCTTTAACAAGCTAGGCATACTTTGTAATGTATTCACATCAAATGTCAGTAGAGAAAGTAATTTTTCCTAGAATGTGCAGAACTTCATTTAGTCCATTTAACCTGACTTTAACAAGACATTTTATGAAAAATAAATTATAAAAATAGTCTTGTAAAAAACCTCCTCCATTTCACAGATGGGTCGCTGAAGGGAGGGAAGGTGCAAAAAACAAAAACGAAAACAAAAAAAAAAACCCAACAAGACCAACAAGATCCTGCATTAATGGGGATCTCATAGAGTTCCTGGAAATTAGAGCCTGACTATGAAAAAATGAGTGTGGCACAATTTTCTAAGCTTTGTTGAAAAAAATATGAGACGAGCTCTTATGCTTTAAAAAAGAAAAGGCAAAAAATACAGTATTCCCCTAACCAGACAAAGAAGGTAGGACCCTGAAGGAGGCTTAAGAATCTCTGATTTCACAGAGGGGAAACTGAGGTCCTTCAAGATGCAGTGATTTACTTGGTGGCGGAGAGAAGAAAAGGAAGTCTTAGAACCATTCTCACTACCTGATGTCTCCTATTTAACTGTTAGCTAAAGGAAACATACAACACCATAGATCTAATTCTACAATGATGACTTTTCCTTTAGTAGAGAAACATCTGTGACAAACAAAAAGCAATGTTTTTTAAATTCAATTTTTGGGTAGATATTTCAGTGTGTTACATAATCGGCTAGGCTGTGTTTTTTGTGTCACATCTATGCTTAAAATTTCCCAAGTGCCTGAAGTTGTGAGAAACATCAGTTCTAACCATATGGTCAGATAATGCACACACAAAAAAACATACCAGCATTAAAAAAGCAGTGGTTTCCAAGAGAATTTGGCTGCTCAATGAATGCTCATTCAAGTACACCCTATTTCTCCATTTTTCCTAAAATAAACAATATTCTACATGGCTATATAAGGATTTAAAGAGAGAAATGAAAAAGAATTGCTTCAAGACAGGCAGATAATACCGAAATTAAACAAACATTAACATTTGAGTATCTGGGCCTTCACTTTTAACCCACTAAGAAATGTCACTGGTATAAGTAAGTATTCTTTGGACTAGAAGCAAAAAGTTTCTTTTAAACTCATATATGTCTTTAAAAATAAACTTTACGTCAAGTTTACTTTTATCTTTACTTCTTTGTTTTTTTCCCTTCTCACTTTTGTTCTCCTTAAACAGAAAACATGAGATATGGCTTTGGA